AATTCTATTCAGTTTATTTCTATAGCTCCAATTCACATCATGTCATCTCAGATCACTTTCCAGTTCACCAGATCATCCAGTCAGATTGATTCACAGTTTTCTATCTTAAGGAAAACCAGCTGATTGCATCGACTCATTGACTCTTCAGCAATCCCTCACACTAAGCATGCTTGTAGCGACAGTGGAGAGGAAAAACTCCCTTTGAACAGGAAGAAACCTCCAGCAGAACCAGGCTCAGTGTGAGCGGCCATCTGCTGAGGCCCACTGGGATTCAAGGAGACAGAAGCAGACATAGAAAAAGAAGCATAGATACAAAAGGCAACTGTCAACCAGCTCCACAGGCGGCCCCGTCCAGGAAACACACAGCCAGGGAGGCGAGCTCCGAGCCAGCTCCCATGTCAGAGGATGAAGAGAGCACATCCAGTTAGTCACAGTCAGAGAAACAGGACTACACTGGAAAACAGGCCGAGCTCCAACATCTAGAAACAAAGGTGTTGATGGCAGCAGCACAGCTGATATTTCTCTCCAGGATGGAGTCACAGCCAAACAGGAACAGACCAGATGAAGCTACTATGAGAAAAAGCAGAGAGAGCAGAACGTTAGAGATTGAACTAACAGATTCTGCAGAGTGGGAGAATAGAGATAGAATGAAGCAGAATGATGAAAAAGGGGTCCCTATGTCCTCCAGCAGTCTAAGCCTATAGCAGCAGGATAACCTGAGCCACTCTAACTAGAAGCTTTATCAAAAATGAAAGTTTTATCTTTTATCTGTCTTATCATCCATCCTCTAGGCTGTAGACTTTATTCAGCTGATATCTGAGTAGTTTCCTTCAGAAGCAGCCAGTGGATCCACTCACAGTATTTCTGGCTTCTTTTTCTGTGTGTTTTGTAATTTCTGCCCTGTTACTCTGCCCCAAACAGATGGTCTCTGTGGTTCTTCAAGAATGACAAGAGCAAAACATGGCAGGCCAACCTGCGCCTCATCTCTAAATTTGACACGGTCGAAGATTTTTGGGCGTAAGCAGCAATTAATGTCAGCTTTCCTCTGCGGTGATGGAGAGGCTGCAGGAGTAAAACGCCCCAGCTGCATGTTGGATGTTTTCATAACTCCTCTCTCTCTGTCTGTTTTCAGCCTCTACAACCACATTCAGCTGTCAAGCAACCTCATGTCGGGCTGTGATTACTCCCTTTTTAAGGTCTGTTGGCTTCCTCTTTTTCATTTATAAGAGCTATAGAGGAATATTAAGATGGGGACGACGGCCTCTTGTTGTTCGTCTTTACTTTGAGTCGAGTGCTTGATCCGTTTTCACAGTTTCTGTTTTTAAGGAAAGATGTGTCCGTCGTCCAGTCTGCCGGTTCTTCGTCTGCAGCTCGTTAAATTTATCAGAGCAAAGACTATAAAGGCACTTTTTTAACCATTATTGCTGCAGCAAAAACAAAAAGGTTTTGTAAATGAACATTAGAAACATGCAAATAAAACTTTGTAAAAGACTTAAGCTCGACTCGCCTTGCCGACTCAAACACAATTCAATCTATTTATAGATACGGCTGAAACACAGTTGATGAGATTTAACAGGTATTTAGGTGAGAAGGTGCACAGCTGCTGTTTGTAGTGCCTGAAGGTGAATAGTACCAGAATAGGACCTTTTATTTTTTATTTTTTCCTGTTTTTAACATTTTTAGTTATGTATAAGCTGTTCATAGTTCAGTAGAAAAATCACTTCTCTCACTTCTCCTGCATAAAAACAAAATAAAGCAATCCTTCTGGCTTTTTAAAACCTGTTGAGTTTAACCCCTTTATATTCAGCTTTATATGCTGACAGCTCTGCAGAAGGGATCAAGGCTGCATGCAGAGTCTGTCTGCTGGTTTAGCTTTTCTGATTGGTCAAGATACAAAAGTCCTGAAGCCCTGGTGCTCAGACATCCCTACACTTGGACGTCCCGGCGCACGGACATCGGCCATGCCCACGATCGGACGCCCCGCCACTTGGGCATCCCGACACTTGGACATCCCGACATTTGGACATCGGACATCCCGAAGCTCGGGCATCCCGACATTTGGACATCCCGACATTTGGACATCGGACATCCCGAAGCTCGGGCATCCCGACATTTGGACATCGGACATCCCGATGCTCGGGCATCCCGACACTTGGACATCGGACGTCCCGACATTTGGACATCAGCCATCCCGACGCTTGGACATCCCGACACTTGCCGTGCCAAACCTTGGACATCCCGACACTCGGCTTTTCTGACTTTCAGACATCCCGACATTCGGCCATCCCGACGCTCGGACGTCCCGGTGCTCGGAATTCCAACACTCAGAAATCCCGAGGCCCTGATTGCGCAACTGGAAATCCCGACGCTCAGACATCCCGACACAATGATACCCAGCCGGACATCCTGGCGCTCGCACTGCTCGGAATTCCGACGCTCAGACATCGGACATCCAGACACTTCGATGCCCTGATACCCAGCAGGACATCCCTATGCTCGGACGTCCCCACCAATAGATTCTGCATGTAAATCACATCCTCTGACTAGTCTGTCCCTGCGTCCCTCAGCAGTGTCTCACAGGCAGGATCCTGTTAATATAGCGTATCAGCTAGTCTCCTAGTAAACTAGAGTCTCGTTTATAATGCATTAGACTCTGATTGTGTTTGTTTGGTAAAAGCCAAAGTTAAAACAAGAGCTCCATTTTCTTTTGCTATTTTGTATGAAATATTCAAATATCAGCATTAAGCTGTAGATAACAGGGATCCACAATAAAAAAAACTCCCATTACCTTAAAACTGTATGAAAAAAAAAAACTTGAGTTAAATAAAAAGTACCAATGGGTGCAGATTGATGCAGATTTATTACTTTTCTCCTCCTAAACTGACGCTGAGCCCAGAACAATAAAACAAAACATTGGACCCTGAAGCCGGTTCCGATCCAACAGAAGCTGGGTTCTAACAGACCTGCTTGGTTAAGGCGTCTATTCATCATATTTCTGTATTAACCCCAGATCCTGTGTTTTATTTGTGTTTCTTTAGGTTTAATGAGAAACATCTGGAAGCTCGTTTCTTCTTCTCCCTTTTTTATGGCTGCTGTAAATGTTTGTACTGCTGCTGACGATCCGACCCGTTTCCCTGCAGGACGGCATCGAGCCCATGTGGGAGGACGAGAGGAACAAGCGAGGCGGACGCTGGCTGATCACGCTCTCCAAGCAGCAGAGGAGATCAGACCTGGACCGCTTCTGGCTGGAAACTGTAGGTTTTTCTATGGAGTCCAATCATTGATGCTAGTTGGTGCAGAAATGGGTCTGAGTTTCTGTCTACCTCTATCTGATCTATAGCCCTGTTTTCACTACCCTATTGAAACCGTGCCGAGATCAGGATCAGTCCGAGCCTCCAATGTATTCCAAGTGTCCTGAGTGGGTAGCGTCCATAATTTACTCGAAACGAAGTCATGCTCTAAAAACATTCTAAATGACTTCGTTTCGAGTAAATTATGGACGCTACTAGGGTTGGGAATTGAAAAGATTTTCACGATTCCGATTCCCTTTTCAATTCTATGAAACGATTCGATTCTTTATCGATTCTTTTTTCGATTCCAATTTGGGGGAAAAAGGAGAACAAACAGTTTGATTATCAGCATCAACTTTGTTTACTTAACTATTGCACAATCTTACAAACTCAACAAGATCAAGATGTCCACAGGAAATGTGAAACTAGAGTAACATCTGTGTTTAAATGAAAAATGAATACAAGAACAAACTTAATAACCAACAATGTCTAATAACAAATGATGGGATAATAACCTATTTTAAATAACAAAAAATACTAATTATAAAACAGTAGTAGGGAAAATTAACAGTTCTTTTGCAGAAAGATGAGCATATCTGCTTTTTCTGGAAGGATACAGGATCTTTCAGGGCTTATGGTGTCTCCAGCCGTGGAGAACACCCTCTCAGATGGGGTGGAGGAATCCTGCACACAGAGGTAGTTTTCAGCTAGTCCAGATAGCAAGGGCAGCGTATGTTGCTTGTTCCACCACCACAGTGTGGCGCTATCCCTGCAGGGGATGGAGGGCAAGCTTTTACAGAGCTGGATTTCCTGATCTACCCTCTGGGCTAAGGAAAGACGGGGCTTTGATTCACAAAGTGACCGCAGCTCGTTGTCTTCCTCCTCGAATAGTTCTTCCAACTTGCGTAACTTGCGTAACTTACGTAAAAAACGTGACGTAAGTCGTGCTCCCCAGAGCCGGCGCTCTAGGCTCTGGTGCTGCGGGAATCGAAAAAAGAATCGTTCAGTGAGCTCCCAAACGATGCCATGGAATCGGAAAATACGGAACCGGTTATTAACAGGAACCGGTTTTCGATTCCCATCCCTAGACGCTACCCACTCAGGACACTTGGAATACATTGGACGAGCAGTATGGAGGAATATTGACACGTTTTTTGTGGACTTTTATGGACCTTTCTGCCTCGGGCGCCATAGACCTCCATTATTTGAATGTCAGCAGACAGCAAGAAGCCTCCCAGATCTCCAGATGCATTTGAGATATCAAAAAAGTACTCCAGAGTGTTGTTCAGCATGGGGGTGAGTAGAAAATGAAGGCTAATCATGTTTTGGGTGTACTATTCCTTTAAGCTGTGCATTCGCTGTACGATTTATTTTTTTTTTATCGTTGCACGCAGCTACAGCTACTGTATGACAAAACAGCAGGGTTTAAAAGTTCACAGCTCACCATGTTTGTTCACACGCTGTGCGACCCGACGCTCTGATGCGATCTACCTGCTCACACTGTACGTCTAAAAACCAGGTGGGACTCAGCTCCGCAGTGAGATGGCGCTACTCGGACTCGTCTATCCGGAAGCCAAACCAGTAGAAGAGGAATATGAAGCTCACTAGAGTGAAACGCGCTGCCTTGGATATTTGGACAAAAAGAAAAGGCGACGATGTATTTAGCTGAGCAGACATGGCTGAGCTAACGTGGCTACTACGGTCTGTTAGCTTACAGAAAGAACTCCATTTCACTCATTGCACCCCCGCCATGATGCTGAGTTTACAGCTGAGAGGAAGAAGAATCCTTGTTTGCCCACTGAGCGATTTTCCCACAACCGCCTTACAACGGCCGACTGAATTTCTAACATGTTAGATTTTCTCCCGACCTTCTGATTCCTGATGGGGAGGTGATCGATAAAGGCTGATCGCCCCTCGTTACCCCCTGGTCACTACACCACACACCATCAGGCTGGAAGTTGAGCCTATGCAAAAATTCTTGCACAACTGGAAAATCAGCCCGAAAAGAGCAAAAAATCGTACAGTGTACGCAGATCTTTAGCAGAGTGATGAACCTCAATGTCTGTGGTTGTTTCCTGCGTCTGAAAGCTCTGATTAGACTATCGTTTGTCGTATTCACCTCCTATAAGCCGACTCTGTCATGTAAATCCACCAAAGGCTGCCTTCTTCGCCTGACTCTCCGCAAACTTCCTGAATGTTACGGGCGCCACCGTGTTGGTTTGCTTGTTTACCTCTAGAGAGCAGTAGTACCGTAGATGGCCCCTAGGAGGCGAGGAACCGTGCTAGCGTGGTGTTTCGGCACGGTTTAACTGATCCAAGCTCGGTCCGAACTCGGCACGGATCGGTTTTCAGAGGGAAGTGGAAATGGAGCTCATGTCTCCCGCCTATGGAGGGAAGCTTGTTTCTTTATTGTTGCAGCTCAGAGCAGAAAAATGAAACTAGAATGAACTTATTAATCGATGAAAGGTTTTTAGAGAAACTTTGCTCTTTACTTGGGGTTTATTTTTTTTATCTATTTTTCTTTGTTTTTTTAATGTATTTTTTTTTTTTCAGTTTTAGTTTTACAGATTTTTTTTATCTTTTAATACATTTGTTTATTGAGGAAACAGCTTAGTCATATATATCAAGAATTTTTAGAGATTTTTTATCTTTAAATTTTATATTTTAAACTTGTTTTTTCAGATTGACTTTTATGGATTATATCCTTTTTAGATTTTTTTTTTTATATAGGTAATTTATTTTGTTTTTTTAATATAAATTAATATTTTTTAATTTTCAGTCATTAAAGGGGGATTGCCATTAAGGGGGGGATTGGGAATCCCTCCTTAACGACTGACCCCTAGAGTCATAGACAGGTTTCAGATATTACAGGCTAACGATGGAACTAAACGACCTTTATCGGTTACCATTGCATGTTTCCAAGCGATACAAGGCCTTGTCCATATAAGACTCAAACTCACTGCGGATCCAGACATTTGAATTGAGAAAGCTTCCTGGAGAGGTGGAGAAACGTCTTCAAATCTTGGAAACCAAGTCCAGTGGATATTTTTTGAATTTTTGTGAATTTTTACGGAATGACTATGACCTGGATGACTGAGAACCTTCATCAGCATGAGTCAGAGAGAAGTTTAGACAAACTTATAAGGACAAAAAGCCCTTAATTTGACACAAAAAAATTTAACCTTTAACTAAACTTTGACAAAAAAGTCTCGACAATAATGAAAATAAAAATTAACATGAAATTAGTGAAAAAACAAAATAACTTGTAAATCACATTACAGCAAATGTTCTTCTATAGATTATAATACTCATTATTAAAGAGCAATCCTTTAAAATACTGAATGATAATAATAATAATATACTTAATAAATATATAATATTTTTAAAACCTAATCTTATAATATATTAATATAAAATGTTGTGTTTATCATGTTAATTTTTATTTGCTAAATATATAACTTTGCATATATTTCATCCAGTTTGAGTTGAGTTTAAATCGTTTTTAACCTGAATAAATCTGTTTAATCTAACTGAAAGTTCATTTTAAAAATTGTTTTGCTCTTTTAAGGGGTTGTGACATTTAAGAGATTATTGTAATATTATCTCTGACTCGTTTTTCATGTGATTGAAATGAGATCAAAGGTACCTCCTATTTATTCTGACAGCAGCTGTCTGAACTGTGGTCTGATCCAAGATGGCTGCCCTCTCGGCACGCCGGCCAGCGTCCAATGAGGCATCTATGTGTATAATGTCTATGCTGCTAGCAGCTTAGCTTAGCTTACTTTTGAGAAGCTAAGTCCCTTCCCGTGACTACATCCCCCATAATGCCGTGTGGTTCTGGATCAGCGTTCAATGGAATTACTGAACGCTTGATCAGACATATTGATCAGGTGACACTGATTCTTCCCCTTCAGTATCGTTTATTTTCCCTCAGCAGAGAAATCACGTTATATTTTACTCCTAGCTGGCAAAGGATGATGGGAAGTTGTGACCTGGGCCGTACGGGACGGACGCCATCGTCCATTAATGGTGTCCTCCCTTCCTCTCAACAGCTCCTGTGTTTAGTGGGAGAGGCGTTCGACGACTACAGCGACGACGTCTGCGGAGCCGTCGTCAACATCCGCAACAAAGGGGACAAAATAGCCGTGTGGACGTCCGACTACGAGAACCGGGATGCGGTCACACACATCGGGTGAGGCGGCGGCGGCGTTTTGGCGGGGCACGTCCTGACCACGATGATGTCTGCTTCTCACGCTGCTGTCTCTGTTTCTCCAGGAGGGTTTACAAGGAGCGCCTGGGGCTTCCTATGAAGATGACGATCGGCTACCAGTCGCACGCCGACACGGCCACCAAGAGCGGCTCCACCACCAAGAACAAGTTTGTAGTCTGAGAAATGGCCTCTTCCCTTTACCTCGCCTCGGCTGCAAAGACTCTGCGAAACGCAATCTGGAGACGGAAGGGAAAAGATCCAACCTTAAGCCAAAATGGCCACCGGCCCACGTTTAACCAACATGTATTAAACTGAACGCAGACGGCCTTCGACACTAACAGAGAGAGGTACGGAGCGCCGCCCTCTGCACATTACATTTTTATTCATTTTTAAACGTTTGTTTTATTCTTGATGAACGACAGGAAGTCCTGGAGCGCAGAAAATGTTTTTTTTCTCTCCCGTTTGTGTTCGGGTTCTCCGTTCTCTGTAATCCTTAATGAGATTAAACACATTTAATTTATTATTTTAATCCGCCTGCATTGTATTCCCCACTTAAACCTTTGATTGTGCTTTATTGTGCCTTGAATTGTTACATTTAATTTGAGTGTTAATATAAATAAAACTGGTTTTGCAATTATTACCTGTGGGTTCTGCCTTTGTTCTAATTGGATCTGACAGAAATCCGTGGTCCGGACAGGAGGACAGCGTCCCATCTGCAGGACGTCCCTCACATGCAGGAATTAAAGTCGGTTTTACGGGAAAAGGTTGCTTAAAAATGTCATCAGGTTTATGAGGAGCGGCTTTGATGCCTCCAGGAGATGCGTGTAACTACAACTGCAGCTACTTGTTGGAAATGTGTTGGTAACCTTTAAAGGCCAGCTGATTTGTCACACATGATCCTGGGAAGGTGTTCATCTGCATGATGAATGCAGCATTAAGCTAAATGTACATGATTAAAACTCCTGACAGGGAAAATAAAGACCTCAGCTTCATGTCTTATTTCTCATTATGAGGAGTTCAGACTGGACAGGTCACCGCAGGGCTGCTGCACGGTAACCGTGGCAGCGGGCGCCATGATAAATTCAATTCAGTTTATTTCTATAGCTCCAATTCACATCATGTCATCTCAGGTCACTTTCCAGTTCACCAGATGATCGAGTCACATTGATTCAAAGTTTTCTATCTAAGGAAAACCAGCTGATTGCATCGACTCATTGACTCTGTTCAAAATCCTGGGCTGCATCCTCCAAGGACGCGGCCTACCTAGACTGGATCCTTCGAAGTCCTTGAAAATAAGGAGACCGGAAGAGTTTTGGCTGTAAATTCGAACAGGTCCACCCTTCAGCGGGTTTTACCGCCGTAAGCTCTGTTGCTTAGCAACCGTGATAGTTGACACACAAAGCAGGAAAAGAATGAAAACCGAAGTTTTCAAAACTGTTTGTTTATTTATTTTTTATTGTAAAGTGAACAAAGACTAATGAGAATCCAGAGTGGAATAAAGGTTCCAACCACCGGGAGCAGGAACAAATCAAATCAAATATAATGATAGAAACCTTAGTCAGTTAAATAACCTGCTGCTGTCATTCTGCACATCTCTGATGTTGCTGCTATTTTCAAATATCCATTACTTTAAAAATGTCCATAGCTGCATATTGGTTATTTATTCCCCAGTTTTATATTGTTAAAACACTTTACAGTATTGTATTGTTTATATTTTAACTCTTCCCTATTATGTTATTCTTATACATTTTTCTAAGGTCGTCATTTGTGTGACCATTTTCAATAATCTTTCTGTTACTGTAAATTTCCCCATTGTGGGACAATAAAGGGATTTTCTATTCTATTCTATAAAAGGGGTAGAAAGATATAAGTAAATCTAAACAATGTATCTACAAAATATATCTGCAAAATCTCTAATATTCAACAACATAAAATACGTAGTTAAGCATATTGTGCAAAACAGCAATAAAAAGATATAAAATCCTATCAGATTTATAGTTCCCACCCTGCAGATATATTAGAATCTGTCCTTAAATTCCAGCCAAACCCATTTAATCAGTAACAGATAAAAACCTTTAGATAGACCAAACATTACCGCCACATATCTGACTCTATAACCATTAAAACAACTATTTTCATTCATTTCAGACGGAACTATTCACTGACTGGATTATATTAAACTGAACTTCCAATTTTCACCACTGGTCGGCGCCAAGTAACCTTTCCTCTGATCACAGCTTGCTTGGTCTCGCAATGAATCCTGGGATATCCAAGGATACCGAGGATACATTGGACGTATGACGTAATCGGCCTTTGAATCTGGCCTTATAAGGACGCGTCCTAGGTTTTCGAACAGAGCAATTGACTCTTCAGCAATCCCTCACACTAAGCATGCTTGTAGCGACAGTGGAGAGGAAAAACTCCCTTTGAACAGGAAGAAACCTCCAGCAGAACCAGGCTCAGTGTGAGCGGCCATCTGCTGAGGCCCACTGGGGTTCAAGGAGACAGAAGCAGACATAGAAAAAGAAGCATAGATACAAAAGGCAACTGTCAACCAGCTCCACAGGCGGCCCCGTCCAGGAAACACACAGCCAGGCAGACGAGCTCCGAGCCAGCTCCCACAATCAATCCTAAAATGTACTGGCAGCCAATGTAATGAGAGCAAAATAGTGGAAATATGGTCACATTTACTTGTACCCGTTAAGAGATGTGCAGCAGCATTCTGTACCCTCTGAAGCTGAGAAACACATGAATCAATGACACCTAATAAAGAGCATTAGAGTAATCCAGCCTAGTGGTTAGAAAGGCACGGAGTTTCAAAATCCTGACGTGAAAGGATAGGTTTAACCTTTGCTGGATGCCTCAAGTGGAAGAAGCTGGACTTTAAAGCTCTAATCTGAGATTCCAACTTCAGTGGGATTCTACATGAGGGCCAAAAACTACAAACCAACATGACAGTGAGGGGATTTTAATGGAACTCTGTTTTACACTGGAGGGAGCTGCAACGCCGTCTAACTGTAAACTGGTAAGTTAAGCCAGCAGGCAGCAATAGGAGCCTTCATTTACAGCTGGAAGTCTGTATCCTACAGGCTCTGATGTTAAAAGGCTCTGATTTAACAGCTAACTGTGATGTGAAACACTAACACACACACGCTCCCTCTGGCTGGAAGTGTGTCTGGCTTATTTCCCATCTGCAGCTTTGATGGTGGCAGCTCGCAATTCAGCCGGAAACAGCAATCAAGTTAGGCAGCATCACGGGCTGAAAATCTATTGTTTGTTCAGAGGCGAAGAGGGAATTTCACTGCAGAAAAACATCAAGAAACAACTTCATGCTGTAACCTTAGATGTGCTGACAATGTTTTAACGAGGAGTAGGTGCACTAACCAGGCATCGCAGGTATCAGATCACACCGCCATAAATACTTCTTATGTTTCCGCCCACTAATGTCAGCTTACAGCTCATCCGAACCTGAACAAGGTTTTCACTCTGATTTTATATCAACAACTTGGATTTCCAGAGATCACTGGAGAACTGGATGTATGCAGGGACGGATTTAGGAAATTTGGGGCCCTTGTTAAAGACAGGCAGGGGGCCCCTCTGAATGGAGAAGACAACACATAAAACAGCCCCATTCTACAGATAGAGAAATGTTAATAGAACAGACATCCATTATCTGTTCTAGGTTGTGTCCCTCTCTTCTTGTCCCTTTTCTTCTTGTTTTCCTCTCTATGTTTTGTACTCCGCTGACTTTCCATGCTGTCTCTAAAGGAATGAAAGATTTTTTCCAAGCACTAAGCTCACTTAGCTGATTGCTCCTTCCTGTGTTTCCAAAAAGGCCAAAGTAAATAACCCAGTCCTTCTTTTCACTGTAGACAAGCCATGATCTGCTTATCTGTTCTCCATTTTTCATTTGGATGAAATAATAGCTGCATGAATCATGACAGCAGACAAGATAGAGGAGAGCAGGAGGCGGGGTTACCAATCTACTCGCTCTGGAGAGCAGAGTTCGCTGCTTTTAGATGTTGTCTCCAAAGTCTCCAGTAGCAGAAAAAAGTCTCTAGATTTGGCGCTAGGAGCTTTTTAGAAATCAAAGTGCTAGAGGGGTCTGAAAAGTGGCTAAATATAGCGACTAAAGCGCTAAGTTGGCAACACTGCTCTTTGCATGGTTTGTTTTCAAATGGTTTGCTGCTGTCTGTTTGGACCTTTCTGAACATGTGCAGCAAATGGACTGATCCAATATGGTGGACACTGAAGGGGGGGGGCTGAGACACACTTAATATTATCAGCGTTCTGATGGAATTTTAGCCAAAGGATTTTTATCAAAAACATAATTAATGTTCACAAATAAGGAATAGTTGTATTAACCATACATGTAAACAGAGTTTCATGGGGCCCCCAGGAACTTGGGGCCCTAGGCAGCTGCCTAGTATTGCCTAATGGTTTACTTTACGTAGATGGTTGATCATCGGCCCCAGCCAGGGGCCAGTCAGTTCCCCACTGACTCTGAGGATCAATGGAACGATTTGTGACCCCAGAGTAAATTAAAGGGCTGGGGGCTAATAAAGCAGACCGTTAGTTAGCTGCGCTGTTTTCAGATCAGAGAATAAACATGAATAAGACATCATAAAGTGACCCACCAGACAGCAGCGCTGCTCTGCACAGGCAGTTTTTTCCAGTATTGATCGATATATTCCCTAAACAGCTGTTTGAGCCTGACTCTTGACATTCAGCCCAGCAGAAATATCATATTATCCTCATGTTAGCTCCCAGCACAGCACAGGATTGATTTGAACATTGATTGATCATCTTGGAGACACGTCTGGGAGCAGCAACTGGTTGTTTCTCCAAAATAGATGGGGGACCAACAAGCAGAGCCAGTTCAGCAATGATCCGTGTCATAAAATACCATCAGCGTAAATAATAGCCGTAAGCATAAATATTTTTAATCATAAAAAGGTCTGAAGTCTGGTTTTATAGCTCATTCTCTCTGTAAATCTAACCTCATGCCCACTGCTGTAGCATTTAGCAATGTTTCCGTCCAGCTCCTGGTCTACTGCAGCCAAAGTGCTGCTTCTTTGGTCACATAACGATTGGAAGTTTTTAGGTTTCTCATCTGCATCTGGGAACGGCACAAAATGAATACAATTTGCATGTAGATCTCTATAGAAAATACATTTTACAATATTAAGTTTGATTTTTAAACAATATA